AAACAGGAAACCAGCCAGGGAGGCAGTGGGGCCCTTGGACGACCAAGGGGTAAAAGGAGTATTGAAGGATGATAGGGAAATGGCTGAGAAGCTAAATGCATTTTTTGCCTCCGTCTTCACTGTGGAAGATGAGAAGTGCTTGCCCACTCCAGAACCACTGATTTCAGGAGGGGTGTTGGAAGACCTGAGTCAGATTGAGGTGATGAGAGAGGAGGTCCTAAAACTGATAGACAACTTAAAAACTGAAAAATCACCAGGCCCAGATGGCATACATCCGAGAGTTCTGAAAGAACTCAAATGTGAACTTGTAGATCTCCTGACAAAGATATGTAATCTTTCCTTAAAATCTGCCTCCATTCCTGAGGATTGGAAGGTAGCTAATGTCACTCCCATCTTTAAAAAGGGTTCCAGAGGAGATCCGGGAAATTACAGGCCAGTCAGTCTGACGTCGATACCGGGTAAATTGGTGGAAACCATTATTAAGGAAAGAATTAGTAGGCACATAGATGAACAAAACCTATTGAGGCAGACTCAGCACGGTTTCTGTAAGGGAAGATCTTGTCTCACTAACCTGTTAGTGTTCTTTGAGGGGGTGAACAAACATGTGGACAAGGGGGATCCAATAGATATTATTTACCTTGACTTCCAGAAAGCTTTTGATAAAGTTCCTCATCAAAGGCTCCTAAGTAAGCTCAAAAATCATGGGATAGAAGGACAAGTCCTTTTATGGATCAAAAACTGGCTAGTTCATAGAAAACAGAGAGTGAGTGTAGGTGGGCAATTTTCTCAGTGGAGGGTGGTAAGCAGTGGGGTACCGCAGGGATCAGTACTTGGTCCACTGCTTTTTAACTTGTTCATTAATGATTTGGAGATGGGAGTAAGCAGTGAAGTGGCTAAATTTGCGGATGATACAAAGTTGTTCAGGGTGGTGAAAACCAGTGAGGATTGTGAGGCACTCCAAGGGGATCTGTCAAGGATGGGCGAGTGGGCGTCAACATGGCAAATGGGGTTCAATGTGGCCAAGTGCAAGGTGATGCACATTGGAGCCAAAAATCCTAAATATAAATACACATTGATGGGGTCTGAACTGGCAGAGACTGAGCAAGAGAGAGATCTTGGAGTTGTAGTGGATAACTCACTGAAAATGTCGAGACAGTGTGTGACTGCAATAAAGAAGGCCAATGCTATGCTGGGGATTATTAGGAAGGGTATTGAAAACAGATCAGCCAATATAATAATGCCCCTATATAAATCAATGGTGAGACCTCATTTGGAATACTGTGTGCAGTTCTGGTCACCACACCTTAAAAAGGATATTATAGCTTTGGAAAAAGTGCAGAAAAGGGCAACTCGAATGATAAAAGGGTTGGAACACTTTCCCTATGAGGAAAGGTTAAAGCGCTTAGGGCTCTTTAGCTTGGAGAAAAGACGACTGAGGGGTGACATGATCGAGGTTTATAAGATTATGCATGGGAAAGAGCAGGTAAAGAAAGAGGTACTTTTCTCCCTTTCTCACAATACAAGAACTCGTGGGCACTCCATGAAACTGCAGAGCGGTCGGGTTAGAACGGATAAAAGGAAGTACTTCTTCACCCAAAGAGTGATTAACACATGGAATTCACTGCCACAGGAAGTGGTGGGTGCTACAAGCATGGACGGCTTCAAAAGGGAATTAGATAAGCATATGGAGCAGAGGTCCATCAGTGGCTATTAGCCACAAGGTATAGCTAGGGGCTCTGGGGCAAGTGATGCTCTGTCTTCTTGGTGCTTGGGGGGGGGGGTCAACAGTGGGAGGGCTTCTAATGTCCTGGCCCCACTGCTGGACCTCCTGATGGCACTGGTATTTCTGGCCACTGTGTGACACAGAGTGTTGGACTGGATGGGCCTTTGGCCTGATCCAACATTGGCGTCTCTTATGTTCTTATGACAAGAAAACACAAACCATTAGCAGCTCTTTCCTCTAGGTAGTTGGTGGGTTCATATGTACTTGCTCTCCTACTACAGAGGCCCTTCTTATTGCAAGGAGTTACAAGTTCCCAATAGCTGTGGGTTGGGTCAAGTGGGGTGTCCTGTATCTTGCTCATAATATATTGCCAAGGCAGTTGACAATTTGGATGGTGTAGTATAGTGGTAAAGTGCATGGACTCTAATCTGGGAGAACCGGGTTTGATTCCCCACTCCTCCACTTGCAGCTGCTGGATGACCTTGGGCAAGCCATAGTTCTGCCAGAGCTGTTCTTGAAAGAGCAGTTCTTGAAAGAGCTCTCTTAGTCCCACCTATCTCACAGGGTGTCTGTTGTGGGGAGGGGAAGGGAAAGGAGTTTGTAAGCCGCTCTGAGACTCTGAGTGAAGGGTGGGGTATAAATCCAATCTCTTCTTCTTTTAAATGACTTCCAACATTTCACAGAGGAAAAATCAAATAATTTCACGTTAAGTGCTTATGGTGCCAAGGATCACTCCCCCAACCCCAAGTTTGCTGTAAGTACTTTTCTACCTGCTGTTTTATTTAAAATAAAGTCCCCGTTGCCAATAAATATACAGTCCTTTTCTGGCAGCACTCAAAACAAATTTTACAGTGTAAGTGAAGGTGACAAACTGGTTTAACATTGATGTTGTTTCTCTTTGGGCTGACTTGGGGTAGTTTCTGTTTATGGACTTCTGGTTGGTTCTACAAGCCTAATTTCTATTGCATTGTTCATTGAATGGTCTGTCTTGTTGATTGTATTGACAGTGTTTTAATCGGCCTTGAGTCAAAGTGAGAAAGGCGAATGATAAATAACATAAAATAATAATGAATCATATAAATAATAATGAATAAAACCAGTATTTGAAAGCATGCTAAAGCATTGGGTTTGTCCGAGATTCTGTATGCTTTTTACAGGAGCCAGAAAATGGCAAATGGGCTGGAAGCTTGTAATGTACTATAGCAGATCCTGAGAATAAACAGCCTGATAGAGGTGGGGGGCTTTGTGTCATAGTGCTGTAGTGCTAAACCACTCTGTTGTTGAAATCTTTTAACACCTTAAACTCAAGTGTCCTGCCAACACAAAATACATTAAACAGAGACCTTCCTTATAGACATACTGATGGTTGCACTGCAGCAATTAGGATTGGGTTTTCTTCTGCAGCCTCTCTGTCCCACATAAATGCTCATCTGAGAGTTGGGGGTAGGGGTGTGCATTTGGCAACAGCCAAACCAAAAAAATACCCAAAAAATACCGACAAGGTGTTTTTCGGGTATCACATAATCTGAATACAGATCAGAGCTACTGGTATAGCTGAACTCGAAAAAGCTGATATTATTCGGCTTTTATTTCATTTTCATTCTGCTATACCGAATACAAGGTGTCAGTTAACCCTAATACCCTTGAGCCGCCAGTCAGCTGTTGGGGTTTAAATGCCTTTCTTTCCCTCCCCAATATCGACTTTCTCCAGGGCACCTGGAGAAGATCAGGCAGGGAACCCAGGCATGTTTCCATGCCTGTCCTTTGCTTCCCCAGTCAGTCTGCTGCAGCAGGTTGGCTAGGGAAGGGCAGGCATGGAAACACGCCTCCTTCCCTTCCTGAGCCTCTCCACTACTGTGGAAAAACCCAGGGAGGGGACAGAAAGGGGGGGCATGTTTAAATGCCTTTCTTTCCCTCCCCACGATCAGCAGGCCGGCTGTGGAAGCGAAGGGCAGGCAGGGAAACATGCCTGGGCTCCCTGCCTGCCCTTCTCCAGCTACCCCATGTCAGCTAGAGAAGGGGAGGCAGAGAGAGGTGGCTTTCCCTGGTCAAATTCACTGACAGCTGACTGGGGGAGTGAAATTGACAAGGAAATCCCTACAGGCTACCAAAAGAAAAGGATTGGGTTTTCCCTCTGCTGGGGTATAACAGACCCGAATATATTAGGCAATACCAAATATTTCCCCAATCCCAATACTTTACCGGTATTGGACTGGGGAAATTTTCCAGGTTTATCTGAAGCCAAAAAATACTGGCTTTTTTTTTTTTTTGCTTTTGCACATCCCTAGTTGGTGACCCTCAGAACATTGTGGGATTTGGGAATGGGGCTGCACCAAGGAGGAGGAAAGTCAGCAGAATTGTCTTCCCCATCTCAGGCTTTATGTATATGGAAAAGGGGAAGGGGTGGAAAGTAGATTCTGTATATTATCCCTTTTTTGCTGCAACCTCCAGATTATATCCCATGTTGTTCCCACTAGTCCTTCACTCATGGAACTGACTCTAGCCCTCAGGGTTCAAGTTCAAAGGCAGGTATCTTGCAGGCATTTTAGACAATGTGAACGAAATGCAAGTCATCACAGACACAACAGAACTTGAATGGATTAAGATGTGCCAACTTAGTTACTAATGTTCAATAGCCTAAAGTAAAACTACACTCAAGCAATTTTAGACACAGTTCTACCTGAACCAAAATAATTTTAAACTCTACCTGCAAGCATTATTCAATGACACCAACAGTGAGTTTTGTTAGAACCTGTTGTTGCCAAAATGATGATCTCTGTGTGTAAACAAGATGAATTTGAGGTTGCAATGCTAAACTCACCAGGGAGTCAGCTCCACTGAACTGAACAAAACTTGCACTTCAGTGAACACAGTTATGGTTATACTTTCAGAAAACGTCGTAATGCCCTGCATGACCCCAAGAATCCATGTAACTACTGTAGTTTAATATAACAGATTTTGGAAGAATATTAGAATTCAGAAGTTAATTTAACAAGTTTTGTGTTTATATTTTCCTTTCTTTTTAGATGGGTAGAAAACTGGTATATCGCTCACAACCACCAGAGACTAAACATGGAAAGGAACAAGTTGTAAATGACACTACAAGAATTGAAGATGACTACTATTTCAGTTGAACTTCATCACACAAAAGTTCTTTTAGAGATAGGTCCTGAAGTTGCAATGGTGTGTGTAGCTTTGTTCAGCAGATATAGTAAATAAACTATGATGGGTAAATCTTATCCAGTTTGCTTTTAAAATTAAAAATTCTTAACCTAACATAAGCATATTGACTTTACAAACAACCATATGGAATCTTTATTTCATAGTGAACATTTTCCTTCAACAAAAATATTTAAATTTTCCTAACCACCAGATACAATATGCAGGCTCATTTACAAACGTGCTTATAGGACCCAAACATGACATACATTGTAATTTTTTTTAGAAAGATCGAGCACCTTTAAAAAATGTTTCCAAAAAAATAGTTTATTCTCTCATTTCTCCATCTTCTTCCTCCTCCTCCACACCCCTTATATAAAGGACATTATTACACCTGCAAATCAAAACAGAAGTTTTTATATGATTGGCATAAATATGTGTGGTTTATATTTTCTAAAATTTATATATCCTACTATTTCCTTTAATAAATTTGTTTGTAAGCATAAGTAAACACAAGTATTCTGTGTTTGCAGCTATATTTAATTTATTGGTACTACTAATAAAGGTTACCTTTGTTCATTGTATATATTCTTCATTTAGTGTAAACAATTTCCGATTGCAATCATAGAAGTACTATTACACAAGAAGAGAAATAATGAAGCAGCACTTTATACCAATTTCTCAGATTATTTTCTTGGTATTATTCTAATCCTAAAGCATTGTGTTTAAAATAGTACAAAGAGGTCAGATGGTTTTATACCAAATACTGTAGCTAGAGGATTTTAGCACAGTGTAAATATCTGCTTCAGGATAAAGTTACAACATGCTAATATTATATATACCTTATCAGAACTTCACCAAGGTGTCCAGATAAAGCACCATCAATATATTCTTCTGTATTTGCAAGCTTTAACAAGGAAAACAAAAATTAAGAAAGATTACATGTGTTCCCATAAAAAGATGCTTCTTGTACAAAATGTCTTTAAAATCAAATATAAATTAAAACACTGAATATTTTCTTAAAAAGCGCATAATATATTGAGAATTTGCTAAAAGTGGGCTGAACAAACAGAAAGTAGAGGCAGATTATTTCCTGTCTTTTCCTTTCACCAGCATCCCCCTAAAAATTCTCTGCGGAAGGTTAGAGGACAAAATGCACCATGGTGGGCAGATGCAACAAGGATTTCCCCCCCCCCCCCTATTTTAAAGATCAATTGCTTCATAAAACTGACAATCACAAATGGATACCATTGCCAATGCAACAGAAGGTAAACTCAGCAGTTTCATAATGTTTTTTAGGAGATTATCCCTAGGAGTTTCATGAGCAAGTAAGCTTTAATTGGGAGCAAAGCAGTAAATAACAGATACATATAAATACCAACAATTTAGAAAATGAAGTTATGCATTCAACTGATTGGCTATTCAGGTCAAATTAAACGAAAACTAAATTTCTTATTGATATGCCTCATCTTCCATTGCAGAAGGGGTACTGTGACCACACATATGATATGGAACGATCAAGTAAAACAAGGGATGTGGTGCCCTAGTGACTTCTGCAGATGAGATTTAACATCCGTTGAAGTAGATTAGACAACTATGGCATAGCACACACATGTCTTTGGCTGGACTAAAATTAGCATGTCAACATTTTTAGTTCCTTTGGGTTTTTCTCCTTAAATGTAAACAATGTAAGAAAGTACATCTACAATTTGAATTTTTATAACAAGTATTCCAATAAAAAACAGTTTTCTCATAGAGCTTTGATTTTGTTCAGACACTTAAACCGTACTTGATTTGACACCCTGCCATGATCAAATATTTCAGTTCAAGTATTTGAAACTGTCCAATCTTTGTTAGATATAACTTTCTAACTGGAAGCCTGGAACTCCCTTGAAACACAAAAATGGAAAGGAGCTTGCATCATACCTTTCTCAGATACCTGAAAGCAAATATATAATTTATGTTTAAAGCTATAAAATATATATAATTTATGCTTGAAGCTTTAAATTCCCAGAATAGAGCAAAAGGGATATTCTATAATCAAATGCATACTAATTGCCATAACCAACTGTGCGTGTATATTTGAGTTCCAGGGCTGTGGTCAGTAAGTTACACCAAACATTGTCAAATTTTAAGAGTCAAATACCAAGGTTGAAGTTATATGCAAGTTTTATTAATATGAATGGGATGAAACACTGATAGGTGTTTCTTTCTTTGTGATAAGCTGAAACTGCAAATAGCTGGACATTAGAGACCATTTTCAACATTTTAAAGAAAGTGTTAGAACTAGCACTTATTCAATAACATGTTCACTACCTTATAAACGCATCCATTCACACACAAATGTTTGCATTAAGAACGGAGAATACATAGTAAAATCCACAGCTGGAAGGGACAATAGGCTAGCCTGCTCCTGTCCCTTTACAGGAATCCTAGATGCACAGATCAATAGATGAAGGATGCTTTTGGGGGTGGGGGCAAGATGCTGGGTGTGGTGCTTAAAGTGTCAATATCGAGGACTGGAAAAACCTGGGTTCAAACTACAGCTCAGAAACTCTCTGCAAGGATGCTGCGTCAGTCACTGTTTTAGCCTAACCTACCTCACAGGATTGTCGTGAGAATAAAACTGGGTAAAAAACAGCCACATGCGCTGCCCTCAGATCCTTGGAGGGCGGGCATGACAATAATGTGATAGGTGCAAGCATAGTGACTAGTACTACCGCGTGCCCAGTCAAGCACCTAACAGCCTTTAACCGTTAAGTAGCGGCCTCTAAAGAGCGGCATCAACTTGCACCAACGTATTCGGTCGTAACTCCTCTCCCCTTCTCTTACCTGCATGTTCATGTAGCCGTCGACAGAGACAAGGTAGCCCTTGTATTCCATCCCCCACTTCAGCTTCACCATCACAGGCTTCCCAGTCAGCCCGTTGAGGAAGGGTTTTGGATTGAGAGGCAAACTCTGCACGGGGCGGAACCAGACAAAAACGCATGAAACGCAGGCGGCGACACCCCATTCTAGCGCCCCCCTCCCAGACGCCGCGCCACACCTGCACCCCTATTACCCACACCCCTACTCACCATGGCAACCCGACCCGCAGGAGGCAGCCGCGACAACAAAAATTACCCGCCGGGCAGCACGTGTGCCCGCCAGAGGAAAAGGCCAGGAAATGACGTTAAGTTCATCAACTTCCGCCAGATCTCTGCCAATTCCCCGGTAACCTTTCACCTTCACGGAATCACTTTTCTTAGGGCCGCTCTAGTCATTTAGAAAAAGCCTATTCTATCGTCCCTGCTGAAAGCGCCAATTGGAAAGCAAAGTTCCGATGGGGGAATTGCTCAAAGGAAAGGCTTCTCGCTAGCTGTGACCGTTGGAAACGTGTATCGCGCCCTAGGAATAGGTACAGGTTGGTTTGTTATTTCTTAGACCTGAGGTGCCTAATAATGTCAGGTGCTTCTCGTAGGCTAACGCTCTGAAGAGAGGATGTAAGTTAAAGGACGAAAATTATAATCGTTTTTATACACAAAGAAATAGATCAGTGAACACAAAAGAAGCGATACTTGGATTATTTTGCAACGTGTGCCTCTTTCTTGGCACCTACAAAACGCAACTTCTGACTTTCAGTAACCGAAAATTACTCATCTTCGAAAAGTCAGTTTCTCTGTAAAACGAGTCTTAACAGGTGTGATCAACATTCCACTTACTAAACCAGGACAGCCTTTGTCGCAGTAAAGGAGGATGTTTCTGGAGGCCACAGGCAAATGTAAAAAAAATAAATGAAGTTCTCTAATAATCCACCGTTTTGTTGTTTTCCAGTCGTGATGCCTGAAATCTTTTTTCACGGGATCACCACAAATGAAAAGGAGTACGCTTCTACAAACCCTTTCCAGCTAATCTAGAATAGGGAGTTGCTGCTGTTAAACACCCCCACCACACAGTATTATAATTAAAAGCTGCAATTTATTAAAATATTTATATGCAGCTTTTCCAGCCAACCATGACAGCTCGTGGCAGTTTACAAGAGAATCTGACTCACAGATAATAATAAAAATTAGACAAAACAATTTTTTTCAGAAGATGCGAAAAACACAAGCTTGCCTTCAAAACAATACCTTGCTAATAATCAACTGTAACACATTCATCTAAAAACAGTTTCCTCTGGAATACAGGGCTATCTGCACTACTTTGGGAAGGATAGGAACCTTTCACATCATCATAGAGAAGACATGCTCTTAACACTGCAGCCACCACCCAAAAAGTTTTTACATGGGAAAGTTATGGTTGCCAACTCTGGGCTGGGAAATTCCAGGAGATTTGGGGATGAAGTCTGGGGAGGGTGGAGCTTGGGGTATGGACAGAGCTCAGCAGGGATGTGATGCCATGGAGTCCATCCAAAGCTGCCATTTTCTCCAGGGGGGTTGGTTTCTGTAGCCTGGAGATCAGGCTCCACCTGGAGGTTAACCCAGGGGAGAGCAATGAAAAAACTACGATGCCTCACCAGTCCTCTGAAATCCAGCCTTTTTAAATGCGCTTACCTTGTGTGGTGACCCTTAATGTGTTGAACATCAGCACAGAGCAACTGGACTACTAGATGGGTGCACTGATACATGAATGGGCTGTGATACTGCTTTTGCATTTAAATGTGATCAGACATACATGAAAAATGTACACGGGCAAAGGTCTGCATTGTATAAGTATCAGACTGGTAGTTTTTTTTTAATTTATTTAGAAAATAGGCATGTTGCCTCTCCAAATCCTTCTCAAAGTGGCTCACAACTAAATCTTTCAGCTCTTCAGGATGTCTTTGATCTGAGAGGGAAACAAGGAAACCATCTGTGACAGCTAACAGAAGGCTGGTTAAAATAGGCTTCACTATACCTGTTTCATTGTGTACGTTGGAATGATTCAGGTGGGTAGCTGCGTTGGTCTGAAGTAGCAGAACAAAGTTTGAGTCCAGTGGCATCTTCTTAAAGGTGCCACTGGACTCAAACTTCATTTTGTTCGAAAGAATGGTCATTCTCATGCCTTTGTAGAAGAAAGACTTTTCTGTAGGTAAGCATGCCAGGCTCTATCACATGATTTTCTACACAGATGTAAACAGATCTCTCAGAAGATGAATCTTAATATTATAGCTAATGAGTTCCTCAAGAGAGCACCAATTAGATGAAATACATTCGGTGTTGAATAATCCTAGCAGTCTATGTATAAACTGCAATTTTATTGGTACTTTAGTTAGCTCTAACACGTTTATTATAAATTTATGCAATGAAGAACTGTATTGCATATCTTATTTTTTAACTTTTGGGGGGCCTTTGGTACCACCCTCTTTGCAGGTTTATCCCCATCTCTTCCCTAGGTTGGCCCCCTACCCCCTCGGGAATTGAGAAGTCTACGCCCCTTCCTATGCCACAAGCACACATGGAATGACATCAGGGCTCATTACCACAAGATGATAATCATTAGCTTTGATTGCTTTTCTTAAAGTTTGGATGTAATGAAGGAACCTCCATGTTCAGTATACCACTTACTAGAGGAAACAACAGGGTGTGTTTGCCATCATCATGCCATGCTTACATTCTTTCTGGAGGCATCCGGCCAGTCAATGATAGATGCAGAAAGCTTGCTTGGATAGATTTTTATATAGTGATCCTGTACCTTTCCTCTTCCTCCACTCCACCACATCAACATAAGTCTGATGTGCTACACAGGGGTTGGAAAGGTCATGTGAGGCCAATGCCACAAAAGACAGGTGTTGTGATGGTAACATATTATCTCTTTGGCCACAATTGTGTCAGTTAACACAATTACCATGAAGATTGGGCCTGAAATTATTTATCTATATATCTCTTTCTCAAGTGTGGCCCCCATCTGTGGATATCTAAATCTGTGGATCAGGGCCACATTTAGCCTAAGCAGATTTTTCAGCGATCTTGGGGGACCCCCAGATTTGCAGAAAAATTAGAAATGTAAAAGATACATTGGGGGATTTAAAGCCCCCCAAATTAAATAAAACATCGACTGTGCCAGGAGCTGCTCTGGGCCAGGCCATGGCAATGGCAAATGATGGGAGACACTCCAGGCTTGGAGCAGCGCCCAGATGCCATTGCTGCTGGGCCAGTTTCAAAGGTGAGTGGTGAGATCTGGAGTTGTGCAGGACAGTGATGGAAGGGAGATAGGATTCCCCCCCAGTGAGTTTTGTGGTCTCCCCACTTGTTTAAAGTCTGTTTCTAAATATCTCTGCCATTATTTTTTTACTCAAGAAGAAGAAGAGATTGGATTGATACCCTGCCCTTCACTACCCAAAGGAGTCTCAGAGCGGCTTACAAACGCCTTTCCCTTCCCCTCCCCACAACAGACACCCTGTGGGGCTGAGAGAGCTCTTGACAGACTGCTCTTTTTCAAGAACAGCTCTTATCAGAACTATGGCTTGCCCAAGGTCATCCAGCCAGGTGCAAGTGGAGGAGTGGGGAATCAAACACGGTTCTCCCAGATTAGAGTCCGTGCACTTAACCACTGCACCAAACTGGCTACATTACATTTGTATCACATGTTTTTCTGCAAGAGGTCTTTTACCCAGCTGGTGTTTAGATTCATGACTGCTTACCTTCAGAAGGGTTGGTTACTCATGTACCTTCCAACCATATTATTTTTTTCAAATAAGTGGCTCATGGGCTGAGCCCATAACACTAGTATACACCAATAAACCACACCTCCTAGGAGATGCCATGGACCCCCAAAATAATTTTTTTCTGAGCTTTCTTCATATCACCAGCTCTAACTCAAACATCTCATGAAAATAAATCATGTGACTTCCCCAAACCATGGATCCTCCAGGGACCGGGGCTCCTAGAATTTTCTCCCCCTAGCCCCACTCCCTATACTTGGCCAAGTCCTCTCAACAATATCAAAATGGCTCAGATTTCTTCCTCCAAGTTTTTGGTACAGCATGCGAAATTCCAGTCAGCATAATTTTTATTGGGATTTTTTAAAATAGCATTCTTATTGTGTTTTATATATATTTTACAACCTGTATTACTTGTTAGTTGTATACAGTATCTTTCAACAACATCTAATACACAAGAAGAGAAATGTTAACCATACGCACAACACTTATTAATAAAACACAAAGTCTCTATATTTCTGAGGTAGTGCATATAATCAGGGCTGACAAGCAGTAAGATATTCAGAAAACACAAACCATTTTTCCAAAAAATTATTGACACCTTTCGGATTGTCAAAAGCTATTAATTGCATAGCAATTTTATCTGAAACTATCAAGTCCCACAGTTTAGATCTCCATTGTGACAGATTTGGTACCTTAAACAATTTCCATTTTAAAGCAATTAAGTTTTTTGCAGCCATTAGCATAGTAGAAATTAACTCTTCATTCTGTTTAGACAGCTTCAGACCTGGCCAAAAATGTTACAAAAGAGATGCAGGTGTATTTGGAATCTCATAATTAGTTATATTCTTTATTTCAGCAATGACCGTAGTCCAAAACTTTTTAATTTGGGGACAATCCCACCAGCAGTGTACTAATGTGCTTTATTACCGCAACCTTTCCAACACAAGGGAGTAGTTTTGAATTTACAATGGAACAACTTGTCAGGGGTGAGGTACCACCTTGCGAATAATTTGTAGTGTTGTAATTTCAAATTCATATCTCTAGTTTTAAACATACTGAAAGACCAAATTGTCCGCCATTGCGCCTCTGTAAAGGTAACTCCGCAATCCTTCTGCCAGGATTCCATGGTCGATGAAGAGCCCTTCCAGAGACGATCATGTAGTTGGGCATAAATTGTTGCCAATAAACCTTTAGGATCACATCCTCTATTCTTCAAATATCTTTCAAAAGGTAGCAGATCCCTTTCTAAATTAGAGTTACTGACAATGTCTTTTAAGGTATGGTGGATGTCTTCCTCCAAGTTTTTGGTACAGCATGCCAAATTCCAGTCAGCATCATTTTTAGGAATAATTGGGAATTTTCCTAATGCTTGAAATTTCATCTTAGAAATGTATATTCTTAGCATATGGATGCCATATGTATGTTTAACCACCAGATGGCAGAAAATTGTTGTCTCAGAGTGTTGCAATACACAAGGAAGACTTCTGGTCAGGAAATGCTGTGATTGAAACACCCTTTTAATTGTTAAAGCGC